CCCTTACGCTCGCCCCCTACCCCAACGCCGATAGAAAGCAGATAAATTTATGAAGGGCGAGCTAAGAGAATAATTACAGGGTGAAGGCCGTTAAATTTTATTTCCAGTCCCAAAGGCAAAACCTGCGATTTTATTGCAAACATCTGGAAGGACCGAGAGGTGGGCACGCTGCTGGTTTAAAATAAAAACAAAAGATTTTATTTCGCGAAAACAAAAAAACATCATTAAAGACCCTTTCGCCCCCACGGACTTTTATTTTTAAAAAGTGCGAGAGGGTGGTTGAGTAGTCGAAGACGCACGACGGCCCCACAGTTTCCAGGACCTGGACGGAGCCGAGCTACTGGAGATGCGGTCCACAGGAGTGAGCCCGGGCTGGTTCTCGGACCGGCACTAGGCAGGACTTTCCGGAAATCCATCCTCAGCCCACGCCCACGTGAGGGCTCCAGGCCAATTGTGCCACCCCATAACTGGGCGCCAATTTGGGAAAAGAAGTGAAAAGTGGGTCCATTGGCCTCACATTCCCTGAAAATTCTAGCAGAGCAGTAACAAAACCCCAGATCTGTCCAGTTTCCTACCGATTATCTTACCTGCTTTGCTTAGTTGTAAGGTAAAATTTAGGAGAAGAATGGGGCGACAGAGAATGAGATGATTGGATGGCATCACCGAATCAATGGACATGAGTTTGAGCAAGCTCCAGGAGATAGTGAAGGACAGGGAAGCCTGGCGTGCTGCAGTCCATGGGGTCACAAAGAATCGGACATGACTGAGCAACTGAACACAACAACAAAGGTATTTGGGACCCCTTCACTCTGCCAGCAGGGAAACTGAGTCCATGGGGCATTCATCCATATGCCTAAGGTCCTATAGCTTAGAACTGAATGGGACCTGGTCGCTAGGCTCCACCTGCCTTGAAGTCCTCTAATGGGTTTCCTCGAATCCCACAGTTGCCTTATAGACCGATTTTGAATTTTTGTTTAAAAACTTTTGTTTTTAGTTTGTTCCTCAAAACTGTACAGTCACAGTATTTGGTGGATCACCTTAGCATTAAGGCTTTCACAGTGGTGGTATTTAGAGGTATTTAGTGTGGAGAAACAGAAGGAAAGGACAAGGCATACGGAGGATGTAGGGTTCCATTTCTTGTATTTTTGTTCCTATCTTGCAGAACTCTGATGTTCCTTTGAAAAATCAAGTTATCTGGACGCAGTCGGTTTTAGGTGAGCAGGCACTAAGTCACACTTCTCATGGCTTGACTTTCCTCCTGTCAAGTCTAGGCCTGAAAGTCCACTTTCCTTATGCGATGGGGGTCCTTGAGTGCCTCTTCCCCCTCCCCCGCCCCTCTGACATCTCAGGTACTCAACAACTTTCTCATCCTTTTGCGGACCCTGCAGTGGGTAGAGTCGGGCTTCCAGCTTGTTGCTTGTCAATCATCTTTAGATCTGAAATAGACCTGAACTGGACTAACCATCTGTAGATTTCACCCAAGGGTGAAATAGGGCCCAAGGGTGGAGCCTATGTTGGGGAAACCTGGAGAGTACCTCAGGAATTAGGAGTTAAATGTTGGAGACCCCACTCTCATTCCTAAAGGTTAAAGGAGAGAGAAACTGAGGTAACAAGAGGGAATTTTGAAAGCCCCTTGATGTAGTGAGTAGAAGGAAAATGCAGACCATATTCCCAGATAATTACATTTAATATCCCCTAACTCTGTTTTTCTTCTTCTCTCTAGTTGCATAAAATTATGCACGTTAGTCACAGACATTTAGCCATCCTGCTGAATCTTTCTCCAGACCTTTTCCCCTGTCAGCACAAGGTCACACACCAAGTGCATGCCCCTGGGAAAAACGTAAAACTGATCCCTGTATTCACAGAAAGAAAATTTCCCTGCCCCTCCCTTTCACCTAGAGGAAAAGTCCTACTTTCATGACTGTTTTAAACGAGTGTGGCTTTGTTACCATCCAATTTGTTTTAATGGCCTAACCCACAACTCTGGGATACATTTGTATGGGGGATGGGGGTGAGGCAACGTATGTGCAACCTGAAGGAAGGTATAGGAGCTCCTTTGAAAACTTTGTGCAGATTATATGCTCTGGTGTGGGGTGCAAATGCAGGATGTTGAAGGCACAGCTCATTTTTCTATGTACGACTCTTGGACATGTGTGTGTGGACATTTACATTGTTCAGGCCTTCTAGATCTGCACCTAGGTGGTGGGTAACGAAAACATCCTCTTTTTGAGAAACTTTCATGACCTTTGAGTGGGTGTGTGGCCTTGGTGCAACACCCAGGCTCTAAGCAGGGTCTGAACCCTAAAGACCTGCTGGGGCCTCTCTGCTGTTCACATTGGGTTTCTCAAACCAAACGAGGTCTATGAGAGAAAGGCAGGCAAGAGGCTACCAGAGGGAGATATCTGGAACATACAGGGGGCAGGGGAGGAGGAAAATGCTGGGAAGGAATAGATGCCTGCCCCATTGCTACTCCATCGGGCCTGATCCTGGCAGGTGCTGGCCAAGGGTGGTGACATCAGAATTGGGAGCCAACAGAGGTCTGAGCTGTGGGGGGAAGGTAACTTCGGGTTCCTGGCCTACCTTCTCTCCAACCCCTGGAAGCAGTGACACCCAGGGAGTGGTCTCTTTTGGCAAGGTCACCTAAAAGCAACCCTAGGTGGTGAACTGAGGTAGGAGACCCTGCACCTGGTCACCCTGGTTTTTGCCCAGCAGTGAGATGGGAGAGGCTGAAGGGCTGAGTGCTGGATCCCAGGGTTTGGAGTGCTGCTCAGGGATCCCCAAGCCTGAGGCGCAGGCTCCTGGAATGCAGAGGAGGCCAAGCCTAGCTGAAGCATCCTTATCCAGTGGCTTTTCCATTATTCTTTCTGCATTGGCTGAACGGGATAGCTTCATCTTCTCCATGCTGGAGGCCTATCGGAGAGGGCTCCAAAGCTGGCCTTTTTCTCTCTCTTCTCAGAGAGGCCCAAGGTACATTCAGGACATACACGGTTGCCTCCAGAACCAGAGCACATCCAACTGTAATAGCAAGAACTAGATTTCCTGGCTGTTCCGTAGTCAGGAGGAGAATGTGGCGTTTCAGAGGTCCATCAGGCCCTCTTCTCTCCCCAAAGGTGGAAGGACAGATGAGCACTCTTTCTTGGGGAGGGTGGCGCTGCTGTGGAACACCGTGGGCTCCTCTGCCCTAGGTTTCGGGTTCAGACCCTGTTCAGAGCCTGGGTGTCGGCATGACTTTTCTGCTGGGGTCTCTCTGTCTGCCCTTCACATCCGGGAGCTGGCTCTTTTCTGCCTCTTTCTTGCGCTGGGATAGAAGCTCTGGACCAGGGCGCTGGGACGATCGGACTGTGGCTTGGGCCGTCCTCCGAGAAATCCGAGACCTTTTCCCAGCTTGGCAGGATAAACTTCTTGGCCCCTCTAAACTTGCTCTGCGCTGGATTGCGTGCGCTCGGGGTCTCCAGCGGCCCGAGACCAGTAGCATAACCTGGGAGGGAGTGTGGGAAACCAGGATGGCCCAAAGTGTTGGATTTAAGTCCCTTAGAAATCCCTCACAACCACGCTGTCCTGAAAGTTTTTTTTTTTTTCCCTTTTTTTTTTTTTTTTTTTTTTTACGATGGAGGGAGGATCAGTGGGGCGGGGAGAGCCGGGCTCCCGAGGTGATCGGATTTGAAGGGAATTTTGAAAAAGCTCCGTCTCCGCTGTCAAAGTTCCCGTCTGCCCTCGCCCAGCCCCTCTCGGCGGGTTCTCCAGAGCCAGCGCCCCGAGCAGGCGAAGCTCGGTTTAGCATCCACTCCGAACGGAAGGACAGCATTTGCTGCGTGCGGGGGCACAGTCAGAATCCGCCTGCCGAGCGCTTGGTAAGCCGGGTGCCCCTCCGCCGGCCTCTCGCTTTGAGGGCGCCTACGTCACCTTCTCTACCAGGTAGAGCTGGAAGGAGGCAGCGATCTTTATGTTTCCAATTACAAGACCTTGGGTAGTAACGAGGCTTTCTTGTTTGTTTCTTTCGTTTTGCCTTAATCAGAGTTGCTTAGAAATCTTTTAACAGGAAAATAGGAACCTATGTCGCGACGGAACTAGCAGATCTGAAAGCATCTGGGGGGCAAGCGCGAGATTATTGGAATCGTTTTCTGGTGTATTTGGACAGGTTGACGTTTTGTCAGAGCCCCCGAATTCCAGCTCCGCATTTAAAATGACCCTACGCTTGCAGTGACTATGAGACCTAGCAGATTTGAGAGGGAAAAGTATGAATTTGGGACTTGCAGGAGTTTGTAACGGCACAGATCTGACCTCGACTTTCACCTCCCCCCACCCCCACGAGGAACCGTGGGGGACCGGGAATCCAGGAGTTAAAGTCGGCCCGGGAGCATCCCGGGGACAGCCAGCGCGGAGCCTTGGCGCGAGCCTCAGTCTCTCCCCCCTTTTCATTGGCCCGCGTTCTCAGGGTTTCTCCAGTTCCCTCTTCGCCATTGGTCGGGGGTTGGCTTTTTTTCCCCCCTCAGTCTTTCTCTTCCTCCCCCCCTCCCTCTCCCTCGCCCCTCGTCCAGGAGCGCACCGCCTGCCCCCAGCTCTTCGGGAAGGGAGGAATTTAGAAAAAAAGTTTCCCAGAAGTTTGGATCAGAGCAAGGACGGGAAGACCAAGAGAGGAAGAGGGAGAGGGAGGAGAGAAAGGGAGAGGGAGGAGGGAGAGAGAATAAAAAAATGATGAAGTCCAGTCTACGCCGCCTGTGAGCGCCTGCCCGGGTGGGTGGGAAGCAGGACTCCGGCGCTCATGCAGCGAGCGGGTGGCGCTCCGGGCGCACGTTCCTAGCGGCTGGGGCAGCCAAGGACTAGCCGGCCGTGCAGGGCGCAGGGGGAGGGTGCCGAGGACCCGCGGAGCCGCTGCCTCAGTCTTGGCCGCCTCGCCGCCGCCTCTCCCGGGCCCGGCCCGGTGGGCGCTCGGAGCGTGAGGGCTCGGGCTGCTCCCTCTGTAGTGGGGGCGAGCGGGAGCCGGGGTGCGGACGGCTAAGATGAGTGAAAGGAGAAGATCTGCAGTCGCCCTGAGCTCGCGAGCACATGCCTTCTCCGTTGAAGCCTTGATCGGCTCAAATAAAAAGCGGAAGCTGCGAGACTGGGAGGAGAAGGGGCTGGACCTGTCCATGGAGGCGCTGAGCCCCGCGGGCCCACTCGGAGACGCGGAGGACGCGGGCGCGCACGGCCTGGAGCCTCACCCGGGTGAGTGCGTGGAGCCGGAACGCGGGAGGCGGGCAGAGAGGGGCCTCGGGGCGGCCAGCCGGCGGGGAGAGTGGCGAGTAGGAAGGCCCTGACCGTGACGCCGTCTTACTTCAACGCCGGTTTCTTTTTCTTTGCGCAATGCCTTGAGGTTTCCCCAAATTCGCTGGAACCAATTTGGGGGAACTGGCCTGAGCCTTGCAGTTTCGTCGCCAACCTCAAGCCAGAAGGCCTACTTGCTCTCATCCTCTTCTCTTTTTGGGAGCAGAATGCAGTGTTCAGCCTGCCCGCCACTGAGAGGGCTGCAGGCCCCTGGGGTTAAGAGGGGCGAGGATCGAGGGCAACGGCCCGAGCGGAGACGAGCTGGGACTCGCTTCTGAGAGCTCCGAGGACTGGCACGGAGTTCTCCGTGCAACACCCCTGTGGAAATCGCCGTTTGTCCCATTTAGCCTTCAACCTCGGTCCTTTCCCTTCCCCCACCAACTTTTCTGGGACTCAAGTTGTTGTGTTTATCCTACTCCCCGCGACGAGGGAGTACAATTATATTTCTACTTCGCCTGCATTTGTGGAAAGAGGAATGGGTGTTAGCTCCCTTACGCTGCGCCCAGGGCCACTCTTCAGAGCCCACGTCTTTGCGTATTTGTGCGGAGCGGTGCAGTAACGTGTTGGATTTGTACGCATTCTATGCACAGTTATATGCACATAAAATGTAAAACACCGGGCGGATGCCAATGTTAGTATTTAACAGAATCTTAGAAGGGGTGGGGAACAACTTAACGTTTTGTATTAAGTGCCAAGATTTCAACTGTGCAAAACAGTCCGGGAGAACAGCTGTTGTCGGAAGAATTTTGCGCGCGCGCGCGCGCACACACACACACACACACACACACGCACTCACGCACTCACGCTACGCTCACAGCTTGGTTTAGCGCTTCAGAAACTTTCTAGCCAGGATTTGTAAAACTTTTCTGGAGGTGCTCCTGCTGACCAGCTAGGGCTGGGGAGTAGATTCGGGTCAGAGCGCCGGCAAGTCGGAAGGGGGCGGCGGACCGTAAAGAGATGAGGGGCGGCCGCAGGCCCACGGAGCTTGGGGACCCAGCTTGAGGCCCAGGAAGGAGCTTGGGGGCTGGAAAACCGGCCGATCCAAGGAGAGACAGCTGTCGCTTACATTTTCTCTTTCGGCAGTGACAGTTCAATTTCCATGCTCCCGAGGCTAATAATAACGCGATTAGCGGGTGACCTGCAGAGACAGAGTTTTATGAATTCTCCGTGTTCTTGCGGCCGGTTACGGTATTTGGGTTTAGTGCTGGGGAATTATTTTTATTAGTCGATGAAAAGAAAATTAAAAGGAGATTTATTTCGTCCGCTCAAGCCTTTCCCTGTATTTGGATGCGGGTGCCTGTCCACGCGGACCCCTGTGTGGGCAATCCAGAAAGGAACGCATGGCTAATGTGTGTTTCCCATCTCTGGACGGACCCCGTTTCCTCGCCGCACTTATTTGTTGTCAAAATCTCCTTTGGGCCTTCACATAGTTTAGTGGAAGTTCTTTCAGGTCTTAGGACAGATCATAAATGGGGAGGTTAGTTTATTTTATTTTTGCGATGGTAGAAAAGGGAGAAGTTACTTAACTGAGTATGCAGACACTCTGTCCTGTCCTCGGGTACTTTTCTCTGGGATAGGGAGTACAGGTCATAGGGAGTTGGTGTAGGGTCGCATGTCCAAAAGGATCAACACTCGGATCATAATAGGGGACTCAGCTGGCAGTTTTCTTTCTGAAGTTCTTCTCAGAAAATAATGAGGAGAGAAAAATGAGGATTTGGAACAGGGAGAGACTAGTTCAGGGATGTGAATGGGAGGACCTGGTGTCCAGAATGCTGTTTCCTCAATCCCCCAGGGTGGGGGTAGGGGTTGCAGACCTAACAGAGAACTTTACCGGACAGAGAACTGAGGTGATGAGTTTTTTAAAAGGGCCTTTGGGTTAGAGAAAACGAAATATGTTTGTGGGGCAAAGGTCCAGGAGGAGGAACTAGCTGGAAGCCAAGCGCGCTGGAGGGGCCTTCTTCAGAGCAGGGCTGCGTCCTGCTGAGCCTCGTTCGCTGGTGGACCAGGGAGATCTCCAAGGTCCCCGCAGGGGCCAAGACTCTTAGGACCAGGGTAAACAGGATGTAGGATGAAAAAAAGATCTTTCATTTAAAGTGCGCTCTGATGTGGAGGCTTCACCGTCAGGGGACTGGAGGAGGCAGAGCTTTGGGCTTTGAGCCTGGAGGGTAACACTGGAGAGCTTGGGGTTCCTTTTAGACCTTTCTTTTTGTCTCTAATACAGACCCCTAACTACAAAGTCAGGGCCACATGTAAAGGTGTGTGTATGGTGGAGGCGGGAAAGGGGGCGCGGGGACTCCCATCATGCACAGGGCCGTGTCTCTGCCGGGCTGGGCCTTGCCGTCGTCTTTAAACTATCTTCTCCCAATTAGCACAAGAGGGGTGGACTCGCCGTGGGGCTCAGCTGCCCTAGGCCGATTAGAAATAAAGGACAGGAGAAAAAACCCCACCACGACAAGAATATTGCCCACGTCCTGGGGGATTAAACAAACATGCACACGTACACTGGCCACCCGCCTTAGATCAGCTGTATTTACCATTCTCACCATACCCTCTCTGACCCGTACCATCATTTTCAGCCCTCCCTCAAAATCCCGGGATCTACAGGTAACTTAGGGGTCCGATTAAAATGCTCAGCTTTTTTTTTTTTCTCAAAGACGTGGCTTTTGCTTTTTCACAGCCCGTTTTTCTTTCGGCGTCAGGACAGAGCTGGCTTTAGTTGGCGCCGAGCGCGCCCGCAGCCTGGGGCGCCAACCTGCAGCAGCGGGGGACCGGCTCGGCCTGCTCGCTGTAGGTCTTCACACATCAGAGGACACACAGTATGTATTTCAAAATTTTCCACCAAGCCTGGTGGTTCCTCCCCTCCCCCAAACCCTGAGGCCCTCAGGGCCCTGGAGGAGGCCTGCGAGGTACCCTCATTTTCACACCCAGGCCAGCTCTCTAGTCTTTCGGAGAAACCGCCAGGAAACTCAGCCTCTGCGGGATGGGGAGGGTCTCAAAACCCGTCTCCGAAAAGCCTGGCTCTCGGGTTGGCCTGCCCCCCGCCTCTCACACAGCAGCAACGGAGGAAACTTTCGAGACAGGATCGCCGGGAACAGCTGCTCCGGCGGCTGCGGCCTTGGAAGTATATTTCAGGCACGCGGCGGCGCCATCTGCGTTCGGACCGCAACCTCGGCTCCACCCGGCTTCCCCAGCTCCGGTTTGGGCCTTTCCCGCCCAAATCCACAGCCCAGTGCGACCGAAGCCCGGTCCCCCGCGGAGAAAAATAATTTAAACCTTCTGCGAAGGGATTTCCCCCTCCGAAGCCCGCAGGCCTGAGCCTCTGCAGCCAAGGCGTTCGGCGGCGGCCTAAGGAGGTGGCGACGCACGCGGGTGGGCACACCCGATAACGCCCGGGAGATCCGCACGCACACGTGCACGCACGTTAGGCGCTCGCGTTCTCCCAGGCGGCCGGCTGCGCAACCTCTAGTAGAGTAAGACAGGAAGAAGCCCTCGCAGTTCCCAGGGCCCTTGCTTCCTTCGAATGATCAAAATCAACTTGTCACGGGAATTAATCTGTCAGTTTATGGTTTGTTCGCTCAGAGTAAAACTCCAAGATTTTAATCCTGTCCTCACATCTCTAACGACTCCCCCTCTCCGCAATATGGAAACACAAGGGTCAAAACTGAGGAAATGATTCTTCACTGATGTTTAAGTAACAAGGAAAAGGGATGCGTTTGAGACTGGGGGGGAATATACTTAACGCAAGGCAAGCACCAGCCAGGGCGCAGGCCGCGGCTTGGACCGCAGTGTAAGCGTAGGAGGCGCGCGGCGCAAGACGCTTAAAGGTCTTTCTGCGGTAGAACTCCGGTTCCTTGGTGGTACGTGCGTCCGGACGCCTGTGCAGGCCTAGGGGTGTCGGCTCTGCGCCCTGCAAACAAGCCAAGTGTGGGGCCTTCTAAACGTGACCTGGGTGTCAGGTCAAAACAGTCTTCCACTGTGCCTGCCTCTTTGGTAAATGACCTTGTGTCACGAATCCGAAAGGAAGTGAAGGGGTAGGCAAGGTCTGAATTCGTTGTAGGCCGGGTTAGGATGGTGGTTTGCTGGGGCCTGACTGCCAAATGCCTTTTTTTTGCACGGGTCTCGGAGAGCGCACCGCAGTGTCCCCAGAGCGGTGGGGAAGGGAATGGAGACGTTCTGCGTAAAACTCCAGTCCTGGCGTGATGGCAAGACGGAAGGCACTCGGAAGATTATTCTAACGCGCTTTATCCCATGAATCGAGCAAAGTGCTCGAGGGCAGCGGGGAGGACTGGGAAAGGACAAAATCCTGATGCCCAGAGTTTGGACTGTGGTGGAAGGAAAGTGGATTGGGCTGTGGTTTGCACCTCCGCAGGTCGCCCCCTTGTACCCCGCCACCTCCACTTGCGGGGGAGGGAGGTTTCAGAAACGGGTGTAAAGCGTGTGGAAGGCGCGCGCGCGGGAGGTGGGGTGGGGCGGGGCGGTGTTCTGGCTTCATTGCTACTCCGTGCAGGGCAGCCCCTTGCCCGGCTGGCTTCCTCTGCCTCTCGGAGACCGGCCCGAAGAGCACTAGCCTGATGGGCGGTGAAGGCTTTCCTGGACAGATCAGCTTACAGCCTAGGTGCGCAGCGATTCTGAATTCGTGTCTTCCACGCTCCACCCAGCGCTCTTTCTTATAGAACACTTTATTTGGATCCAGAACTAGCGCCTTTGGGTTTCCTGATTTTATAGGCAAAAACTCCCAGAGAGAAAAGTTCACGAGGTGACGTTCATGCAGGGGGGAAAGGGGAATTATATTTCTTACAGTGGAATTTGGATCTAAATTATATTGATACATATCTGCATATCGGCTGCCATTTTCCTGTGCGCGCCCCCATTACTTCAAATGGTGTCTTGAACATCTTTTA